GGGTCAGTGTTTTGCCAAGCTAGATCTATCGGATGCGTACTTACAAATAGAAGTTGATGAAGCTTCTAGAGAATTACTGACGATAAATACGCACCGAGGTTTGTATCAGTATCATCGACTTCCATTCGGAGTTAAGTCCGCGCCATCAATTTTTCAGCAAATCATGGATACTATGCTAACAGATGTAGATGGTGCTGCCGCATATTTGGACGATATCATTGTCGTCGGAACTAACCCAGATGACCTTTTCAGAAAGCTGCACTTAGTACTTGATCGCATACAAGAGTACGGATTTAGACTTCGCCCAGAAAAGTGCACGTTTTTCATGGACTCCATTAATTTTCTTGGCTTCATAATTGACAAGAACGGTAGACGTCCAGATCCGTCAAACATTGATGCTATAAAAAAGATGCCACCTCCCAAAGATGTGCCTACTCTGAGGTCCTTCTTAGGACTCGTCAGTCATTACAGTCAATTTCTGCCACATATGCACAGCGTGCGTGGACCACTCAATGAGTTACTCACCAAGGACAAACGTTGGCACTGGTCCGAAGATTGTCAGAAGTCCTTTGAGGAGGTGAAGCGAATGCTGTGTTCTGACCTTTTGCTGACACATTACGACCCTACACTTGAAATCGTGGTGGCGGCAGACGCTTCGAAGTATGGCGTGGGTGCAGTTATCTCTCATAAGTTTGCTGACGGATCGGAAAAAGCGATCGCACACGCAGCTCGATCACTGTCGCCAGCCGAAAAGAATTACGGGCAGATAGAGAAAGAGGCATTAGCGATAGTCTTTGCAATAAAGAAATTTCACAAAATGTTGTATGGCAGGAGATTTACCCTGCTTACCGACCATAAACCACTCCTAGCCATATTTGGATCAAAGTCCGGTATACCCGTTTATACCGCGAACAGACTGCAGCGTTGGGCCACGGCCTTACTCGCCTATGATTTTGCGGTGAAGTACACGGCTACAAAGGACATAGGTCAAGCAGACGCACTTTCCCGGTTATTGGAGCTACAACAGCATCAGCAGGAAGAATCTATCATTGCAGCAATCTCCCTTGAATCAGAGGTCAACCAGGTCTTGATGGAGAATTTTAGGAAGCTTCCCGTGACGTTTGACATGGTACGTGACGCAACTGTGCGAGATCCCCTCTTGCGCCAGGTAATCAAATTTCACACTACGCAGTGGCCAAGTGATACTCTATCCGGAGAGCTACAAATTCTCTCTCGGAGAAAGGACGAACTTTCGATCGTAAATGGGTGTTTACTTTTGGCCGAGAGAATTGTCATACCCAAAGAACTTCGCCAAAGAGTCCTTCAGCAATTTCATCGGGCACATCCTGGAATTAACAGAATGAAAAGCATTGCTCGGAGTTTTGTCTACTGGCCAAACATTGATTCGGAACTCGAGCAACTAGTAAAGTCATGTCCCAGATGCGCGCTTGCTAGTAAGGCACCGAGAAAAGCTGACTTAGCTTCCTGGCCGTTGGCAACAAAACCGTGGGAACGCGTGCACGCTGATTTCTTTGGTCCCCTAAACGGTCAGCAGTACCTAATAGTTGTTGATTCCTATAGTAAATGGCCTGAGGTCTTCTGTATGGAGCGTGCGACAAGTGGTGCAACAATTAACATTTTGAGGAGACTTTTCAGTCAACACGGAATACCAGAAACCTTGGTCACTGATAATGGTTCTCAGTTCACTTCTTCCCAATTTGCCGAATACTGCGCACAGCATGGTATCACGCATCTACGGTCGCCACCGTTTCACCCTCAGTCAAATGGACAAGCAGAGCGCTTCGTCGACACGTTTAAGCGATCGCTACTAAAGATGCGGGGGGAAGGAACCACACAGGAGATACTTGATACATTTTTGCTCGTGTACAGATCAACTTCAAATCCCCAAGTACCAAACCTGTTGTCGCCGGCAGAAGCACTAATGGGAAGAAAACTCCGTACCGTGAATTCCCTGCTAACTCCGAGGTGTACTAATGAGCAAGAAAGGAACGTTCGGATGGAGCAGTACTACAACGAGCGACACAGAACTCAAGCACGCCGCTTTTACCCCGGACAGCGTGTTTTAGTAAGAGACTATCGCGCGGGAAACCCGCAATGGGTGTTAGGATCGATACGGAGAAATATTGGACAGGTGCTATATGAGGTTAATGTGGGTAATTTGATTTGGACCAGGCATTCCAATCAGCTGCGACCAACTAGCATCCATGCGGGCACAAGCGCTCGGTTACTACCGTTAGATATTCTACTAGAGAGTTTCGACATGCCATCTAATCCCCAAAGCAATTCGGATGCATCCCGCACAGAAGTCTCAGAGGAACCGAAGGTCCAGACCCGGCGCTGTACTGATCGACTACGGAGACCTGTCGTAAGAATGCAGTTGGATCCAAAAATGAAGTCTTATGTCAACTTTTGCGGGGGAAGGTGTTAATGGGACGGAACCAGCCAATGAGAGCGTTTTACGCTGAGGGCTATTGATTTGGCCATAAATTGAATGTACCGTTAGTTGGACGTTAAGCAAAATATACGTGCCAGCCGTACGCCGGTCTCCTGCTTTGGGAAGTCGGGCTGATCAGAGTGCACGCCAGCAGCAGGTCATCGGTAGGTCAGCCGAAACCATAACACAGTGACTTTATTTAGTGGCGAGTCACGTCACGGCACAGTGTTGTTACACGGACACATGTGGTTTTTTGTAGGGAGAACGCTTGCCAGGCGAAAACCCACCACCTCCTGGAATACTGCCGCCAAACCATTTGCTGGAACGGGAAAGTCCCGAACCACCCAGCTGTTACCACGAGGTTGTTCGGCAAGCCAGCCAGTGTGCATCTAACCGTGTGGTATGTCAATTGATACTTTTCATACCGTCGCACCAAAGCTGGACGAGTATCCTTGCGTCGCGCGTTCAGTCCAGGCATCGCAACCTGTTCGGTAGAAACATTATCGTATTCCAAGGCCTCTACAATGCTGCTGTACACAAAGGAATTAGTACTGGGATTTATTCTAAGAAAATCATAACTTCGGGAATCGTCAGCAGTGCGCATTCCATCGGACGCTGGTAGGGCTCGAACCCGGCAAATCGACTGTTGCCAGTCCGTGGTTGAGACTACAGAGCTACGGTGGACGGCAACGACCCTGGTAAAAAGGTAGTAGATGTGATATCGCGCCGTTCGCTATCCACTCTTACACGTTACTGAGGTGCAGAGGACAAGGGTCGCCCCCTCACCAAGCGACGAACTTATCAACCTTAAGCCACCAATTAAGTTATGGCATTATAAGCTCAAGTTTGGCAACTTCGTGGCTTAGTGAGTGGGCTACCCTGTCCTCCGCACGGCAGTAACGTGTAAATCAGTGGATAGTGAGCGGCACTATATCACGCCTATTAACTTACTTACGATGTTTGTTGCCGTCCCCCGTAGCGCAATAGTCTCAACCACGGACTGACAACAGTCGAGTTGCGGGTTCGAGCCCTACCAGGAGTCCAATGGAATGCGCACCGCTGATGATTCCCGAAAGGATGAAACGCGTGTACAGTGCTTTTCCGGGCGTGTGACGGCTGTTTGAGAGAGTCTAGATGTGGCGAATTTCTACCTATACCATTCAACTCCCCTACTACTCCTCTAAACTCATAATTATCCTTCTGACGGTCCAAAACAGTTTTTTAAGTTAGATCTTTGTGCCCACCATGACTGAACTAAATCAGCCTCATTTGTAGCGCCATTTCCGAACTTACAGAACCATTTTTTCACACTTATTGGGGTAATAAACAAGTTTTGTCCTAAAGTTATAACATCTTATGACAAATTACAGTCAGTTTTTCTCATTCAATGTCAAAGCAACGGATAACTGAGCGTGTTCATCCCTGGTGCAAGTCCGTAGTGGGGTTGCCACCTTTAAGTTGCAACATCAATCATGCTGGTTACCTATCAAACGGGCGAGCTGAACGAATTTGGACCGACCGTCTGAAAGCTGATCAATCGCCGCCAGCCGAGCAACAATGCCCACACGTATGAGCCAGAATCTTCTCGTAAGCCCGCACGACCAATTGGCTCGATCGTCTCATATGCCAAGTTTCCGTCAGCGGTAGCCAATCAAGGAAGTACGAATCGGAATCGCTCAACATACCATATAATGATATATTACCTTCTGATCAGATAGGTTCTGATCGCAGTCCGGTCTTCCTTTATGCTTATTTAAGGGAGCTACACGACACCACCTATACTGTATTGTGTGATGATGCCACAGTGTACTGCAAATTATGTAAATTATGGTTTATCTCCTTCGTACGTAGTGTGTATATATGTGCCCACACACACAAGTTTGTTTTCATATAGTGTGTGCATTTGCACATATCCTGTCATTTGCAAGGAACGAGACATCTTTTTTTCACTATGTTAAGAAATCACTACAAATATAAACAATATTTTTGGATCCAATTTCTTGTTTGTGTACGAAGAGATCTTAGATATTTATGATAGGAATGTAAATTAGCACTTACCCAGGCGGATTGAGTTCATTTACTGATTGTTCTTGTACTCGGCTACTTGTTCCCCGTGGCCCTCATTTTTACATATTTCTGCCTCCGGTATATTCAATTGACGTCTTAATTAGTTCACCGTAGGTCGTCCCTCGGTGGCCACAAAATGCCCGGCTACTTTTCTTTTTATTCATCAAATTTTGAGGCGTCCTCTTACTGTCGCATGAAAACACCCAATTTCGCGAAAGCCGATTCGACTATTCCTGTTTTGACCCTCCTCACTCTCTTTTCGTCCATCTCTGTACTCACTGAACATCAAAAGGAATTCTGCGAAGAGCAAAGACTTGTTCTTGACCACCTGTGTCATTTTTTAGGCCGCTTTGTCATCCTGTATATTGTCTGAGTTTCGAGTTTGTAAATTTTAATCTATTCCAATGTCATCCGGCGATACCACAAAAAGTATACACTGCAGCTTCTATGTGGTATTTGTCCACTTTGTTCTAATCAGCCTCAAACTTTGGGAGAGTTATTGGGAATCAGTTTAGAGCCAGCATCCAGTCCAATGGACTTCACTCCTGCTGTTCAACCAGATTTCCAGTCAAGCGAATTCAGAGTAAGCATTCTTGTCTCTTTTTAAGATGTTGCCTGACATGTTAGCTAGCTGACGTCTCAATTACCCCTTGTGTTCTTCGGTCTTTTCTATTGTACCCTAAAGCAATACACCTTATTTGTCCGCTCTTCAGTTCCCTTCTGAAACCTCTGGCGTTGATCTGCGACCTCAGTCGTGAGTTATTTCTTGTCTGTTCGAGTTTTCACATGCACCCTCGCGTTTCGTGTTTTCCTACTATGTGTGCGTGCGTGTTTGGCACTGTGCCTCCACGGTCGACTGACCCTACGCAGCACCGAGACTAGGAGCGATGAGCCTGCGTCTTTTTTGTGTGTGGACATTCTAAATGCACCATTGCAACCACCATTTACGTATACATAGACGGTAAGGCGCCCATTAGAGCATGTGCGGAGATGTATAAGTTCTAATAAACTGGAAGCGGATCCCAATTTGCTGCCTATCCAATCAGGGGGTTGTTTGCATTCAGATCAGTACACGATTTTGCCGCTTGCAGTGGAATTAGCCTTTGTTTGGAATTCCGTAGCGCGCTGTGTGCAACGACTGATGCGAGTATCCGGGTTTCTAGGTACGTATTTGAGCCACTGGAAAGGAGCGGTATGTTTACGTTCAGCGTGCGTTATCATATTTAGTTTGATGTGAGGATTTTGCAACCTTGATTCTCTACACTGAACTCAGAATCAGTCTTTCGAGGATACACTAAACGCTGCCGTGTGTTACCAAACACACTTAGGTAATACTACTGCTTCGGCATTCTTCATGGTGTATACATTGTTTACTTAAGACACTTTGATGGCCATCACTCCCGTTTCTTCGCTACACCTAACTGTTTACTGTACATGCACAGGTCCATATTATTGTAAATCTTAGTCCTAGTTCCCGCCTTCTGTTGTTACTGGTGAATTGTTTACCAAGGATAGTTGGTCTGGTTATCACACCTGTGCGATAAAACATTGCTCCTTGTAACGGAACAGCTCATTTTGAATGAACATCATCCTTCACGAGTGCCCAGGTCAGTTTGTACTTTCCTGATTTTGACTTGTTAGTCTTCGGGATCGGAAGTGTGCGCCTCGTGAAGTGTATGTTGGTGGACAAAAATGATGGAAACTCTTTGAGGTACTTGAAGCATCGCCACGGATACGCACTGTCTTATTTCGATCACGATTTTAATGGCATCGTAGTGTAACTCACTTTAATTATCTGTTCAGTGCAAGTATCTTATTGCATTCTTGACCCATTTGTTGATTGTTAGTTGGCTGCGAGTGGACACATCATGTACACCACATTGCGTGTTTTTCAATGAAAACAGGCGAAGAACTGATGTCTCAAGATGCGTTTGAGTGTTGCTGAATACTTGAACTGGTGGACTAGTAGATATGTGTCTATGTTTCTTCATCCTCATTGGTTCGGGCACGTGCGCGGAGTCACGTCATTGACTCCTGCGCGTTTGCAGCATATTACGGCTGCACCGCAGGCTATTTGAATCCGATGCGCTCCCTGTATCTGCAATCCGCAAAATGGATGCCTAGGAATTGCTTGAATTCCGACACCGATTTTGCCTCGACAATTTCCGCAGGCAAACTGTTCCAATATTTAACTACTAAGCCCTGGAAGCATAGAGCGTGTGCTATTCGCTTTAGGGCCGGTACCACTAGCTTGTGCCCATGCCCGCGAGTACTGCTTGGGGTGTGCACGTGCAGCAGTGGCCTCAGTATGGTGAAGTTATCTAGATGCAATATCCGATGTGGTCAACTCTAAACCGACGATACGACAGGGTGTATAGACCTAGTGGTCTGCATGGGTCTTCGTACGGCGTACCCCGTAAACCGGGATGATCCCTTTGGGCACATGCTGACTACGTCCCAGTCTGTGCCTCTCCATGGGTAATCTGACAATAGACGAGTGATCCGCACTCGAGTATTGGTTTTATAATAGAAGAGAAGGGGTGCGTAAAAATCTCTTCAGATCAAATGCAGAAGCTGCGTTTCCCCACACACCACCCTCCATACACCGATCGTCAGTCCGCGAAAACCTTACGATACCATCGTGGTACAGCTGTTGCCTAAAAGTCGTTAAGTTTCTTCTGTGGAATAACTTAGTTTGGCTAGTATCTCGTAGCTTTATGCCACACTTATCTGGTAGAACGATGTAGGCTGTGATGTGTTGCATAGATACACCACTGGAACCTGAGCCGGTGACCGTTTTATTTCCAATTAATAGTGTATTTTTAACAAACGAATTAACAGGCACATGCATCGAACGATAAAGCTGCACGAATAGATAAGCCGAGATTACACTAGGCACACACCCAGTTAGCATCTTGCCCCTGTGGTGGAGACATCGTCTGCATTCAAACTTAGGGTGAACTTTGATGTGCTGGTTTGGCTTTACCTGGAAGACGCACTTACTAAGATTTGTCACATAGCCAAAAGCTTCTCTTCCCAAACACAAGGAAAGTCATGGCAATAGAAATGATCCAAAGAGGCTGTGACCTGTTGCCTAGATGCACCACAACAACCTCGTCCGATAGAGGTTTGTTTTTCCACCAAATACTGTTTACTTGATTGGTTCTGATAGGCACTCTATCAATTTATCATAGCATTCGCCACAGATTAATTTCATGTGTCCCGTTTTATCTATCTATCCACTTTGATGTGCACACGAAGAAGCGTTACCATCCCCTTCAGTTCCGTACTAAGTGTCTCCATCTCATTCATCACACCATGTTTTCGTTACGCCATATTTCTCCTGTCTACCGTCCAAGCATATCATTAACTCCCCTTTTTCCGTTCGTATTGTAGTGACAACTCTGATTCGATTGACATTACTGTTCTAATTGTCTTTACGCTTCTAACCTAACCTTATACCTCCTCGTTCTAATGATTATGTCTCCGTTTCGCCACTGTCGGCATTTGCTTAGCTTCGAAGACCTCCATGGTCAGACGAACACAGAAGTTGACAGACAGCTAGTGGCCTTCCGGCAACCACCCGCGACTACCACCCCTGTTTCTATTAGTGGTAAGCTGTGTGTTCTTGATTGATCTTTCCTTGCCATAGATTGCCATATCTGACTACTCTGAGCCCTCCTACCTGGCATTGTGCATTGCACTCTAGTAGATCATCGTTTATTGCTCTCGCTCCGCGTCTTATCCATCCAAGTCGAAATTTCTTTTTTGTAGCTGACGACGAGCTACCGGATGACATCTTCGAGCACACTGTGAATGACCTTAGAAGTTTGCTTCAGCACTGCCGTAGTGAATGGTAAGTTCCGTCCTCCTAGACGTCGAATCACATAGGTGACTGTATCAACAAGCTGTTGGTTCTCTTCTTTTACTTTGCCTTTTTAGTTCGTCTCTTTAGTTCGTTAACCTGCTAACAAACCGTCTCGCTTAACTCGTCCAGCTTACCATTTTCGAGCTCCCTTTGTAGATTTCTTTGAGTCCCCGTTGACTTGCCTGATGAACTTCATTTTTCTGCCTTGTACACTCTCCAGGTAGAGTTTCAATGAGACACTCGCGAACTATAGGATAAGTATCAGAATAGCATGCACCGTACAGTCGCGTGAGCGGGCGCATAATTCGTTACATCCATTGGGACATTGCGCCCTTTCGAAATGCTGCTGACACCCCCAATAAGACATAATACTCGGTTTGGTATGTTGTCGGACGTTACGAGAGGTGATTAATCTCTTCCGAAGGCTAAGACTCTCCATAGCGTTCCCAGTCTTGTGTCTTGTTGGGATATCCTCCTGAGCTTTTTCTGACGGTGTTACTCTGGACTTGAGCTTATCTTCCGTCATGCAGACTACATTTAGTGTTTACACATATTTCAGCGTTACGTGTGGACGGAAACGAAAGCCTGTGGAACATTGACAGCATAGTGTGCCTCAGTGCGCAGGTGTAGTCCTTTTGTTTCAACTGCTCAGATCCCTGACCCTGATATGTGCGATGAAAGTAGACGCTGAAACCTCATTCTCCGATTCAACATCACCAGCATTATTTTCTGCGTAACAACTTCAAATCACTGTGCTTGTTTTAGTAGACTATCACTGTTCGCTAGAAAAGGTTTCCGAGTCTTGCCTAGTGCTCATTCGCTCAGAGCTAAGTCACTTCTAGTTTCGTTGTGGTATGCGGTGGATGGCCTTAGTGAAGAGTTGTTCTGTTCACCGGCAAACCACCAAAAATCGATTTGGTGTCGGTCTTTCATCGGTTTGCATAAATTCAGCCCACTCATTCACTCCTTGTCAAGCGCTCCTGACGTATGCTCAAGGCTTACTTAGCAAACTTCGTGAACTGCAATTCCGTCAGAGATCAAAGTCTTGTAGCCTCATTACCATTGCAGAGACATGGTTTCGCCCCGACATAGGTGACATCGAGGTCCAGTTACCAGGTATGTGGCTGACGCAATAAAGGAGGACTTGCTCTGTATTTCCGCAGTGGCCTGCAACGTAAACCCTGAAGGGGGGTTCGATCAACACAGTACAGGATTACTTTTGGTGCCGTCTACGCTTGAGAGGAAACGATACTTACTTGGTAGCTGTCGTTTAACGCACTGAGGCAGGCAATAAACAGATGATACAGCCACATTCTTATTAACGTCCACGTTTTGGAGAACAGTTCAAAGCAGATCTGCAAGAGCTTGTCGCCAGTTTTCCTCTTTATGGCCACATAAACACTCCCACCAGATTCAGAGAGGCAGACAGACCATCCTTACTAGACCGGATATTCACTAACCAAGAACTCTTAATTAAGTGGATGATCATCGGTAGTCCTCTAGGTCGATGTGATCATACTACTTTGCTCTTCATGTTCACCTGCTATACAGATTACCCTAAGAATAATACCCAAGCGACATGGGCCACAACACCTTGTGACATAGTATGTCGTTAAAATGGCTAATTAGACTTTCTTAGCCCATGGGATACCGGATATTGCATGGGACAGTTTCGTCAGCAAGTTTACCACCCTGGGTGCGGAGGCATCGGACGTCAGGACAACCCGTTTGAGCAACATGCCCTGGTTTGTACGCAGTAGAACACAACAAATGCATGGCGACTCGAAGCGCAGCATGGCATGCTCACAAAACCGATCTGAGCTCAAACACCACTGTACACAACTAGTGCGCGAGGACGAAGTTGCATATCAACAGGTTAACAGCACGATTTATATCGAATCATAAACTACCACTGCAAGCATATGAATAGCCTTCGTAAGGTGAAAACGATTTCCTTCTCTTCTGACAGCAGATGGACCAACACGGACGGCCAAAGAAGCAGCAAATGCCACGCAACAATTGCACGCGCAAATTTTTCATTGTGTTTCGTGGTATCCTAATCCAATGGAATGTACTGTGACACTACCAAGATTTACGTCCACTTTACGGGCGACACTGTGATGAGAAAACTGTTGTCTATACGCCCACGCAGCACTCCCGGAAATGATGCTATTCGCCCGAATGCGCTTGCCGTATCAGTTACGAAATTGGCTGAATCTTTGACACGATTCTTCCACCACTGCCTTGACGAGATGCACAGAAATAAGGAATAATTTCTTTACTTTACAAGGGGGGTAGTCGTTCCGACCCAGATAACTATCGTCCAGTGACACTTCTTCCAGTTCTTTCAAAATTCATGAAGGCTATCATTGCTGACGCGCTCATAGGTTACCTTGACGAATTTGGCTCCGTTGCACAAAAGCAACATGGCTTCCGCTCTAACCGGTCATGCACTACCAATCTACTGTTAGCACGGAGAGTTGGATGAAATCATTGGATGTTGGTATATCATTATGATCATTACATATTAGTTGAAAGTGAGAAACACAATTTTTGTGCCGCGGAAAAGTCATACGAAATCAAGCAAGCTAAAAAAAAGCACGCAACACACTGTGTAGTGACATATTACGCGTCAAGATAGAGATTGTCGTTGGAAGGGGAAGGTGAGCGCGATGGACAGGAATAAAGAAACTAATAATACAAACTCCACTGAGCTTGGCTCCTTGCCATGTTAGCTAGTGTATCCAACAAAACGTGTTCATCGTCATTCGGACCGCAGCCCGGCAGTCGTGACACACCAATCTCCGCCAAGTTCAAAGTGATGGATTTCGCTGCTCTTGGCCACTCTTCTTCCATCCACACCCCCGGCGCGCAAATAACTCACGACGCAGGAGCCTGTGGGCTGACATTCGTAACACGTGATCCAGCCGTCGGAGCCTGATGCGTGATATAACGCTGCTAAACGGTCCGCTCGCTCTTCCTGCACCAAATACCTAATCTCGATCACGCTCATTGCTCACTCGGTACTCCCACCAGACATGAGCTAACCTGTGAAAGCAGTGATGATCGAACGTGACTAGCCTCTTTACATCTGTCGACTTAATTGGCCAGGTTTCGCAACCATGCACTAGGGTTGGACGTACGGCTGCATTGTACACTCTACCATTCTGGAAGAGAACGAGTTCGCACCGACTCCATTGGTGGCGGAGATTGGCAAAAGCGCCTCGAACTTTTGGTTTGCGGTCTGTGGTCTCATCTATCCCACTGGCGCTGATAAGCTGTTTGAATGTTACTCGTAAGTAGCAGGATGAAAACCTCAACAAACTATTTCAATTTCTCGATGACTTCAAACTGATTCCCACCAAGATTCAACGCAGGGATGGGTCCGTACCAATCTTAGGGAAGGACTTTACACTTCGAGGGTGCAATGCATGACCCTAAACTACTGACAACCAATGCTAATTTGTCTAGTGCAACTTAGCACGGTTGAAAGCTGTCACACATAAGGGCAATGTCGTCGGCCCCCTACAAATCAAGAATTCGGTCACCTGAGAGCAGCTCCACCCCTTGTACGTCGAATCCAGTGAACGCAGATTCCATGACTCCCTCGATGGAGAAGTTAAAAAGGACAGTGGGCATCCTTGTCTCACACCGCTGGAGATATTGAAAGGCGGTGACATTTTGCCGTAACTCACTCTGCCCGAACTATGCAAATAAAGCGCTTTGATAATATTTAAATCTTTCTCGGATACAGCTTTCCTCAGTAGACAGTCCCAAAGGACACATCAATCAACCGAATCGAAGGCGCCTTTTGATGTCGTGGAACACGACTGTGGTGGCTCGTCGATAGAATGGCGGTGATCAATACAGCTACAACTGCGACTAAACCCGGCCTGCTCCTCACGCATCTGGCTTTCACGGGTGCCAGTCAATCTTTAGGGAACGACAGAAGCAAGTAACTTAGAGGCTATTGAAATCAGACTGATTCCTCTATGACCGCCGCATTCGGAACGTGAGCCCCCTTGAAAAATTTGGACTATTATAAGACGGCTTCAGTCTGGTAGTACAGTTTCCTGCTCCCACAGCTTCACAAGTAAGTTGCACAGATCATCTACAAGAACAGGTCCCTTTGGATTTGGAGAAAGATCGAAGGATTGCATCCGCCCATGCGGCCTTATTTACTTTCAACAGTCCGATCTCATGTTCGGATTTTTCCCGTGAAGGCGCGTCCAGGGGTCGGCCTAGGGCGAAGGATGATCAATGGCCGGTTGAGAAGAAGACAACTCTGACTGATTGAACTGCTTCTCAAATTGTTCGGCCCAACGCTCCAAGCGTTTTGACAAGCTGTGGATCAGCCGCCCACCCTCATCAACTATGGTCTTGCTAACATCAGATCTACACGTTTCGCCTATTGAATGAAATGGCTTCCGATGGCTACCAAGAGCAGCGGCCGTTTTTCATCTGCCATGCACGATTAGACCACCGCGCTTCGCGGTCTCTCTTTAGGCTACCACGCAGTTTTGCCCTGAGGTTTTTGCGGGTGTCGTTATGTTCGCTCCCAGTCCGAATGTGTCGGCGAGCATCCAAATTTCCAGAGACTACATAGAGACGCGATGTCCAGCATGGTAACTTGATTTGCCACATGAAGACATTCCTGTTGCCAATAGCGTCTAGTGAAAATGCGACCAGTGGCCCTCTGCTGTGTTCAGAGAGCCCTTATTCATCCCGGATGCCAGCGTAATTCGATACACATTCAGGACATCTGTCTTCGTCAGCTGGCACACATCTATGCGCTCACAGCGACGCCGCATACTCCAACCGAAGCGAACTGTAAGATCGGCACAAACGAGTGCGTGGTCAGAGTCAACGCTTGCGCTCCAAATTGAGGAACAGTTTTGGACACAGCCTCTCCAACCGTAACTGATCGTGATGCCGTCTACTTGTGTCCATGGCTGGTTTGTGGCTGGTGGACGCTTGTCACCCTCGGG